CCAAGGAGCTGCGCCTACAGGTCGATGCATCAAAGTACGGCTTGGGAGCAGTACTAATGCAAGATGAGCATCCAATAGCGTATGCCTCAAAGACACTGACCCCAACCAAGGTTAATTATGCACAGATCGAGAAGGAGCTCTTCGCAGTACTTTTTGGATGTAAACGCTTCCATACCTACATATATGGCAAGAAGATCATCGTCGAGTCAGACCACAAGCCGTTGGAGCACATATTGAAAAAACCAATCTGCATGGCCCCAGCGCGTCTGCAACGCATGCTTATTCAGCTACAAAAGTATGACCTTGAGATTGTGCACCGCCCGGGAAAAGACATACCTGTGGCCGACACCCTATCCAGGAAGCCCCTGCCTGACTTAGACAGCACGTTGAGTGAAGGCATGGAGGACCAGGTCCATTCAGTGTTGAACAGCCTACCAGTAAGTGACAGAAAGCTTTCAGAGATACGAGCTGCTACGGCAAACGACCCACAGCTCATCCAGTTAAAGCAAACTGTACATGCTGGCTGGCCTAAGGACAGGAAAAAATGTCCCACAACACTACTGGATTTCTGGAATTTCAGAGATGAAATTTCACACTATGATGGCATCATCTTTAAAGGTGACAAAATCATCGTGCCGGCAACCCTGAGAGGCAACATGCTGGAAAAAATCCACACTGGACACATGGGGATTGAGAGGAGTAAACAGAGAGCACGGGATGCCCTTTTCTGGCCAGGGATGGGCAAAGAAATCGCCTCCAAAGTGGAAAACTGTTCCATATGTCAGGAGAGACGTGCGTCAAATCCAAAAGAACCCCTCATCTCACACCAAATCCCGGAGAGACCATGGCAGGTCGTAGCCTCAGACCTGTTCACCTGGCATGGAAAAGACTACCTCATAGTTGTGGACTATTACAGCCGTTATTTTGAGCTGGAAGGATTGACATCCACCACTACAGGAGCAGTCATCGCAAAACTCAAACCTATATTTGCTAGACACGGGATACCAGAAAAGTTTATTTCTGATAATGGGCCACAGTACAGCTCACAAGAATTCAAAAGCTTTGCAGACACATGGGACTTTGTGCACACAACATCAAGCCCCTTTTACCCACAGAGCAATGGTCTTGCTGAGAGAACAGTCAGAACAGCCAAATCAGTTCTGGATAAGGCTCATGCCCAGAGCGTAGATCCCTACCTGTCTCTTCTAGAGCACAGGAACACGCCAGTTGATGACTTTAAATCACCAGCCCAGCTTCTGATGAGCCGACGTCTGCGATCAGTACTTCCAGTCACCAGAAATCAACTAAAGCCACGCACCGTAAGTCAGACGGCGGTACAGGCTAAAAGGAAGGAAAAACAAGAACACCAGAAGCGATACTACAATCACAGCGCCACACCACTACCAAAGCTGCAGCAAGGCGACCATATTCGTTTTCAGCATGACACAGGACTCTGGAAACCAGCTGTCGTCATCCAACCTGCAGAGATGGATCGTTCTTTCATCATCCGCACCAGTGAGGGACAGACCCTACGACGCAACCGGCGACACTTGAGGGACACAAAAGGTCCATCAGCACCTTCAACACCGACAACTGATCCAGGAGCTCAGCATGAAAAGGCAGCTCAACAACAGACAGAGTCACAGCTTTCATCGGGCTCTGAGTCACAAACCAAAAATAACAGCCCCATACTGACCACAAGATCAGGACGAGTGGTCAGGCCAAGAACAGTTCTTGACTTATGATTGTAAAGGGTGCAGGCGGATCGCTGCCCTAAATTAAAAAAAAAAAAAGAAAAAAAAAAGATGTGAAATGATGGAATGTTTACATGAAATATTCACGTGGGATGACGTGAAATGATGTTTACGTAAAATGATGTTTACATGAAAA